ATGGCCGGAATTGCGGGAGGTAGTATGATCTAAGTAAATTTTTTTTTTTGTTGCACTACTTATGATCGCCAGTGTACGTACTGTAAATCCTCAATGAGGATGGGCGTTATTTTCCTAAAAATAGCATAGTTTGTTTTTAAATAACGCCCATGCGAATCCTTCATAATAATTTCTGCACATATATTTTACGATTGTAAAGAATCTTCACGGTTATCACATGCAATAATTTTTTATTTCTGTTAGTCAATCGTGAAGATCGACTGATAAAAAAACTCGCATTTTATCATTATATAGCTTTTGCTTATTATGTCATTCGTGAAGATTCTTCACAATTAGAAAAATCGATGACAATTTACGGTAAACTTTAAATAATTAAAATTAAATATTGCTATAGATTATATAATTCTTATTTTAAATGTCAACGAAAAACAATTTTTATTCGAATTTAATTATTAGAAAAAATTTATATACTAAAGTGAAATCAAAATATATATATAGTTTGGTGTAGGGTCATACAAATACGTAATAAAAAAAATCTAACATTATTACTCTAGACTATTACTATCGATTTGAAAAAGAAATTAGAGTTTCTAGGAATTTGCAATTTTTATTTAAATATAAAGGGACTTTGTTGCATGAATTAATTAATTGCATTAAAAATAAGATCGATAAATTAGATTTATACTTCATTGAAGATAGCTGAATTATGTGTTAAGCCATCAAAATAAAACTTAATGTACTTGAACTGATTATTATGAATATTTTGACACTTTTCGGGACCGAATACTGAAAGCAATTCATTTTGTCGTACAAAATCGAATAATGATAAAATGATATACGTAAAAAAAATTTTAAATCTATCCGATAAAACTATAACGATAATGAGCGCATGCCGATCTAAATATCTAAATAATATGCAAAATTAGCCAAATATATAAAATAAAAATTAATACGCAGAAACAAATATTCTTAATTTTTTGGTGTAGAAAATATTTGTGAGAGGTCTCGCCGAGAATCGAACTCGGATCGCAGGATTCAAAGTCCTGAGTGATAACCATTACACCACGAAACCAATTATTAGTGTATTCACTTTATTTTTAGAAATTCTAAGCTTATCGGTTATTTATCACTAATTGGTACAACTAATTTGCATAATGCATGCATGGCTTAGATTATGTGATTGAATGGTATAAAGTCTCTTATAAAAATATTTATCGAGGCGAAGCTCCGAGACCATTACACATATAAGCTATCGTTATTATTTATTATTTATTTATCACGCTTTATTATAATCGTTATGAGATTGGAATTTTATTATAAAGGATTGCTCATTTTTTTTAGATTACTATGAAAGTACTTTCGGCTTTGTACTAACGCAAGCCTCCATCATTATGCACACAGCCTTATACTGTATATCAGCCTATACGTATAGTATCACACTTAATAAAAATTTTTAACGCGAAGTATAAAATTCTTCTTTTTTTTTAATTCCAAGAATGAATAAATTGACACGAGACAATTCATCTTTTTAAAAGAGTAGATGACTGACACAAGGTTGTGTAATTAAACACATTTGCATGACTTTCTACATTCAGAATAATGGATGTTATATACAATATATAGGTGAAAATTGGCTTTTTTCCTCATCCCAATTTACCTAATCAAGAGAGTCAACTGTTATGTTTTTTGTTTTTGTCAGACTGTGCTATAGTTAGCAGTAATATATAAATATATAAAATAATAAATAAATATATAGATAGATAAATAAAAATAAATAAATAAAAAAAATATAATTATAACGATAAATAAATAATAAAGTTTATCAAAAATTCACGAGAACTATAATGGAAACTAATCTAATTTCTAAAATATAAAATTAAAATAATATTCTTACACTTTTTTTCCCGAGAAAAATTATGTATGAGGACACATAAAAAAAATCTATTTATATTAAAACATGCAAAAAATAAAATACCAAATCTCCAAATTATAGAATACAAAAGGGTTTATATACAATTATGGTGAATTCGAGAAACTTGTGTGTTTTTTTTTTATTCTTATTCAACACATACATAAATATTAAAAAAAAAAAAAAAAAACAAAAAAAAAAAAAAGGTTCACCAATTTTTTTTTCTTTAATATGCTGATATTTCATTATCGATTGAATCCCTCGATATTGTTGAATCATTAGAACCAGATCTGCGATGATTGACGTACCGTGACGGCCCAGCTTCAATATAAGTATTTGAAGGATATTGATGCACATGAATATTGATGGTAGTATTCCCCATCACAGGAGGAAACAAAAATGATCCACTACCATCATAACTGTGTTCATATACTAATCGAGGTGAGTCGTTAAGACGTGGTGGCTTCTTAGAAGGATTAACTACCGTTTTTGTCTCAGAGTCAAATGATTGTGTCATATCACTACTTGTAACTACTGTTTCCGTAGATGTTGTTATTGAAAAGTCCAAGTCACGTTCTTCGGTAGGTGTAGTTAGGACACGTGATATTCTCTTCATGAATTTGCTTCTTCGCTTATCACTTGCATTGTTATAAATATCATACATGTATCTACGTGTTTCGCCATTACGATAATCACGACCGTAGCTTTGACCAGATAAGGTTCCAGAATTAACAGTAGCAGAACTATATGCATGCCCACGATCTGATCCTGAACTTATCGAAAGACCATTTGGTATGACGGGAAGTTTTTGCTTGTCTAAAAATGTTCTAACGAACCATCTTAAAATTGGTCGATTTTTTTTTTGATTCATTTTGGCTTGACTAAAGTTCGAGTCAAATTGTGAAAATTGTGATTTAAGTGGTGAGAGGGCGGCCGATCCAAGTGGCGAAAAACCGGATCTTTGTGGTGAATAAGGTGGTATTAAGATACGCATACCAGGTGTACGAGGTGATGTTGGATTATTAGACCTATGTAAAAATGTTGGCGAGGATGGAGGCATAAATAATGGATTTGATGGTGTTGGTGGGAAGGATGGTGATGCAGGAGGACTGTTCAAAGAAGGTCCAGGTTTCTCATAGCCGTAATTATCAATGAGATTTTTTTTAACTTTTCGTAGAGCATTATGAATAGCAGGATCGAAAAGAAAAGCAAGACAATTAAATAGACCTATAATGAATAATAAAAAATAAATAATGAATAAAATATTGATAATTAATAATTTACTAATTAATACTATAAAGAATAAGATTATAATTAGAAAAATGAATACCGGGAAGGCATGATCCGATAATTGCCCAATAAAGAAGGGGTGGTGGTATTTTAGTGTTTTTATGAAAAACTATCCAAGTATATTCAACGACAATCCCACTAACATTCAAAAGAGGAATTGCAGCATACAAAGAGATACGACTAACTAATTTCAACAAGAGTAACTTTTGTCGTTTGTTTTTTTCGGTTAAAGTTGTATTACTTTTTTGAGTATGAACTACGTCTGCCAGTTTTCGATGTTCAAAGATTAATTTCATTATGACAATTGCAAGAACTAATGTGCAATATATCATAGACAAAGATACTGGAATGATAAAAGTAGCCAATTTCCATATTTGTGTTTCATCAGCAGTAGGATCACGATAAAGACATGTTCTTCCGTCTGTATCAAATCCAAATCGATGATAAATCAAAGGTGGAATATTTATAGCAAAAGAGGTAAAGAAGGCAATAGGTATATACCATCGATCAGAAAAAGACGAAACTTTCTTACGATGAAGAAATACAATCTAATAGTAAATTGAATTTTTTAAAAAAATTTGTAAATTTTTAAAATTTTTAAATGATTTAAATTAAAAATTAAAAAATAATTACCTGTAGATTAAATGCTATCATCACCGTCAAGAAAAGATATAATGTTGGAAGAAAAGACATTGTCCATCCGATAAAAGTGCATACGTTATCTCCAGATGTATGCAACGTATATGCTATTACGGCACCCCCCGACAAAATGTCTACAAACGAAATGATCCCAGAAAGTCGGAGAGAAACTCTATTTACTAACTTTCTGTCGTAAAGCCACATGATTAATATTATAAGTAATACTATGAATCCACTAATTATACTCGTTATACTCAAATAAATGTTTAACTGTTTAAGTGTATTTGCTTGTTTTAGTTTTTGAACGTCCTCGTCAAAACGGGGATTTTTAGGAAAATTTGCGTAAGGAATGTTTGGATCGGAATAAGGGTCATATGGATCTGCCATGATATAAAAAAAAACTTATGATGGGAAGAGAGGGATGAGACACCCCGTTAAGTTAGTTAACGATGGATGTGAAGTTTTTATGTTTTTAAGGTCTCGATGACGATTATTAGGATGCAATTCCTTTCAGGATTTGCTATTCGGTTTTGAGCGGCAATTAATGAAATAGTTCGAGACAACAAAGGTGCAAAAAATACATGAAGCTAAATTTGAGCTGTATTCTTTTATTGATTTTGACGTAATTTATAATTTGTAATAATATAATTTATTCAAATTTTTTTTTTATTCAATTTTTTAAAATATATATAAATTTCTACAGCATTTCTTAATTTGCTTTCTCTCCCAAATTGAAAGCGCGTCTATGCACATACTGGCAGCAACAATCACGTTTAACAGTGTAACCTTTATATATATATTTTTAAAAAAATTACAACATATGAGAAATTTTCCATTGTTAGACTTTCTTAGAATTGATTTTTTTTTCTTGCGTTTTGTCACGCGAAAAAAAGACCTACAATCCAATAAATCATGAGCATTGTGAGTGTTAACTGTTTTCATTATATATAAAAATCTTTAAAAGCATACTGCCTTAGAGAGTATCATTAATAAAGACTTGCATTAATTACAGTAAAATATATGCATCGAATAATATGTTTGACGATCACTAATTGATAATATTAACCTTGTTCAACGCGAATCCCTTAGAAACATCTTCAATTTGTCATGTTTTCATCCGTATGCCAAGTACGAAAACGGAAAGGTTTCTCTAAAATTGATTAAAATTTATTAAAATTTATTAAAATTTATTGAGGTAAATATAAACTCTCATTTAATAGATGGCCAATTATGATACCATTTTTGGCTGTCAAATTAGGCAAACAATGAAATTATAATGGTATATTAAAGGTTCCCGTTTTTGATTGTTGAATTTTTTTTATTGTCAGTGTTAATTTCTTTGTCTTTCCGATTTGGGAATCTAAGGAAAATGCATTTACCTTATATTCACAAATTATTGTAATTTTTAGAGCTTAATACAAAGGTTAATGTTGCATTACCTCGAAATTTATATTAATGTGATTTCTTACTACGTAAATTTTCGTTTCATGTATGCTTTGTATTTGTCATATTTACTTTTATAGATTTTTGGAATCGACATCATATTTACTTAAAATTCTTGATCAGATCAACCTCATTGGTGCAGTTACGATTTAAAGAATAAAGGTCTTTGATCCTGTTGCCACATTATGGCTAGAATACTTTAAATGTATCTGACCTACTTTGCATAATTGAAATATCAAAAACGTTTAAAGAAATTATTATTTCTAAAATTAGTAATGAATTCTACCAACGAATGGTTCCGGTCGAAATTGACATGGTGTCCTTATCCTTATACGAATAATCTCATTACGTATTTTGTGATTCCACATTATTTTGAGATTGTCAGACAATATATAAAGCGACGACTTAATAACTTCTGCTCATCTCAGTACCGGTACGTCGACAAAATATTAAATTGAAAGTTCAAGTGACGATCATTTGTCATATATAATTGTCGAATTTTAATTTGTAAAAAATGTACGTCTATGCGGATCATGTAGGGTTATGTTACATACGAAAATTACATTTTTACGTTAATTTTGTAAATTATAATTTGGCGTTAATAATTTAATTCATGATTTTAAATTACTGCATAGATAAAAAGTTTGACCAGTATTATTTCATCGCTATAAAATATGAGTGTCGCCAAAGAAAACATACACAGTTATATAAATATAGTCTATATATAAATATGTATGTTTTCTTTTGGCGGCACTCATAAACTAAAGTAAACCTGATGTATTTGCAACATACTTCTTTACAGAAACAAGCAAATTTGCACCTTTAATGCTACTTGCAATTAACTATAAAATAACTATATACTGTATGTAGTTACTTTATAGTAACTATTTTACTATACTTTTACAATTTTATAAAAAATTTCAAAAAATCGAAACTCCAATTTTTTAACATTTTTTTAATAAAATACGTACGTGGTAAAATAGTAGTAAGTAGTAATAGATATATTGCTACCGTATAGTAAATATAAAACTATAGTTACTATTACAGATTATAGATGCAGACTTATGACATCACCTAGACACGTCCTATATAAAAATGGGTTATAAAATAAAACGCAATTGAGCCGTAACTAATGACCTAAATAAGTCTACAACTATAGTTACTATAACAGATAAAGTAACTACATAATTATTTTATAGTTATTTTATATATATAGAGTTAATTACAGAAAGGTTATCTATCATTTCACAAATTTCACAAATTGAAACCATTTTACATAGTCTAAAATAAAAATCAGATATGTAGCCGGGCAATATAATCGTGCTTAAACCAGGAACGTAGTATGATCGTTAGACTCATATTAAGGATCTAAGTGTAGTAATAAACTCTCTAAGGTTGATCTTTAGTATAGGTGGGCCCACCTATACTAAAGGAGATCCCTTTCTAATATTTGTAAAAATATTATCCAATTATTAATTATTTTTATGCAATCTATTTCAAATTTATCGTTTATCTTGTCAATTGAATAAACTTATAAATGTATGAACGAAATTATACATATAATCAAATAAAATTTGAATCAATTACTATATATGCTATGTCAGTCTATATACCTTGCATATGTACCTCTAAGAGATTCTTTGAGTAGTGTAACTTAAAAAACAATCCGTGGGTTTCTCATCTCTCGCGTAGGATACCGGATATAAAATGGTATGTAGGGTAATTTGCAGTATAGGGAGACTCCTATAATAAAGTATTAATTGATTATAAATTTTGGGTCACCTATGCCTAGGGGGCAAATATGTAGGCTCATGTACAGTGATGTAAATTGGATCCGCGCAGTAGGCGCAGCGCACATAGATTTAAATTTGCGCGCTCTTCATATATATAATGCGCGTATAAATTTCTTTTTTGTGCATATTTTTTTTTGCGTTTGCGCCAATAAAATTTTTTGAATTTATAACACTGCTTATGTACAGTACGTAGCAAATGTAGAATGTTTAATCATTTTTTAGCATAGTTTTTAAAATTTAGCCAGCCTTAAGAAAAAAATGAAGCCATTTTCAATATATCCTAAATAGAAAATGAATGGTGTAAAAGTTCGAAACTATGTACCGGGTCTAGAAAGTACAACTATACACCACTAAAACCAACTAAACTACTCTAACCAGAACACTACAACTAATAAAACCAAACCCTAATAATGGTAAGGCAACGATCGAGGCGTGGAAAGACTTGGTCCGAGTAACCAGGGTGAATTGGGTTCTTAGCGATAGTGTCGGATTAGAGCTCTTGATTACGTCACGAAGCTCTTTACTCAGAATCACGGGATTTGGTCACTTATCCCTTTCGTTAATCACAGATTTTATTTATCGGGGGGGAATTAGTAGAACAAACGCTTCTACTTAAAGAATTTATTACTCTCAAGTTAAATACTCTAATTTCTTTAACTTAGGACTTTTGAACTCCACCGAGTTAATTTTTATTCAAAGCTGAAATGTATTCGCTTATATACTTATTTTTACATAGTAACGAGATATCTAATATAACGCTGATATCTAATATATCGATGATATCTAATGTCTTCGTGATTTCTATTATCTCTATTATCTTGGTTATCCTCGCTATCCGAGATATAACCGTTATATCGCTAATAACTGAGATATCGAAGATATCTAGGATCACGGTTATCACAAGGATTTTCGGATTTCTGGGACTTATGTTACTAAGAACTGCGGCGATCAACAAACTCGATTTCCCTTTCACAATGGACGTAAATCATGTACAAGACCAAAATTCGAGTAAAGTTACAAAATATTTCGAGGTTTTGTTAGCATTAAAATGGAGTAGAATAGCATAGCATATACTTTTGCCAATTTGTTTGAAGAATATTACAGTAAATGAAATTACTTTTTTTTTATCGCCAACTCATCATGTTCAAGAACTCCCAACTCGATATTTAAGGACAGTTTTATTAGTCTACTATGTCCAAGACTTTTTTTACCCATGTCCATGTCCAAACGTCCACAGTGTTCACAATTGTCCAAAGAATATTTAGGCTTTAAAATTTAATAAATTAGTTTAAAACAAATATGATTATATATTTTTTTATAATTCTGAAATAGGTTATCTCAATAAAATTTGTGTTGTTTTTTTGTCCACAATTTGTGCAGAGCTGTCCCGTGACAGCACTGTAAGCACTGTTTAAGGATACTAACTCAACTCATAATATCGATATCCGATAACACCCAACCCAAAATAATCAAGAGTATCTATTTTTTGAGGATGTAAACGAGTTTTTTAAATAAAATTTTACTAAATAAAAAGTGCAAAGTATATTTACTCTAAGTAGCCAATGAAAATTCAAAAATTCGACAACCAATCAGATGAATTTTTTTCCCACTCTGCTGACCCTGTCGGGATATGAAAACCGTTATCCGCTTATCCGGATAAATACCTTACAGAGGCTCAGCATCAGCTCAGCGCGTACCGGCACCCTGGAAAATCTGCCGGCGATCTACGCCGTGCGACAAACAAGGATATCACGCCTTAATCAAAAAGATTATCAACAATCCGATTACCAAATCAGGGCATATTAT